TAGTCCCTCCTATATAGTTAAGAGTTTGGTCTTGCCCAAAGAAAAGTCTTGCCTTTGCCCTCAGATTCTGGGAGCTAGTCTGTTTATGATAGGAACATTTTTGTTCAGACTGGGGGGCAGGGGCAGGAGGCGACACTCCACAGTCTTAAATTAGTGGCTGACCACACCAAAAATACCAAAGGTGTTTTAGGGTGGGGACTTTTTTTTTCCTTTTTATTTATTTATTTCTGGCTGTGCTGTGTTTTCATTGATGTGTGGGCTTCCTCTAGCTGCAGAAAGCAGGGGTTACTCTGCTGCAGCCGGCAGGCTTCTCACTGCAGCAGCTTCTCTTGTTGCAGAGCACAGGCTCTAGGGGGAGTCAGCTTCAGCAGGTGTAGTGCCTGGGCTTCAGCAGTTGTGGCACATGGGCTGAGTAGTTGCAGTTCCCGGGCTCTTGTGTACCAGCTTGATAGCTGCGGCACACTGGCTTAGATGCTCCATCACATCCATCACACAGGATCCAACCTGCATCTCCTGCACTGGCAGGCAGATTCTTTACCAGTCACCAGCCACCAGCTCTAGGGTGGGGACTTTAGATGGCATGGTTTCATTTGACCTAAATGCTTAGGTCAATCAAGTGGCACCCAACAAATCACAACTACATAAAGAAGCCCCAACAAAAATTCCAGAACTCAAAGCTCAGGTTATGCTTCCCTGGTTTACAATACTCAGTGCTTACTGCCACACATATACAATGGGAGAGTAACATGTCCTGAGGACCAAAAAGCTTCGTTTCAGGACGCTCCCAGATTCTGCCCTATGCACCTCTCTTTCAATCAATTTAGTATGTGTACTTTCCCAATAATAAACTTGGGTATGATAGCTTTCAGTGAATTATGTGAGTCCTTCTGTTAAACTATCAAACCTGAGAATGGCACTGAGAAACTCCCAAATGTGCAAGTGGCGTCAGTAGTGAGGGTAGTCTTGCAAACTGTGCCCTCAAACATTGCAGTTTAGCTAATGCCAAGTATATAACAATTTATTATAAAGTCCTACCAATTCCTTTAACATAAAGACTCAGACTCAACACCTCTACATGATATTCATAGACAGTAGACCAATAGAACAGTATTTTACAACTGTGGCCTACAGTGCCCTGGATTTCTTTAGGGGTTTCTTCTGCAATCATTGTGGAAGCCTGGAATTTGTCCAAATACTTATTAAAGTGACCTCAAATTATCTAACCTTTCTATACCTCACTTTTGAAACTGCAGGTTTCAAAGCCATCTTCCAAAATCATTGTGAAGATTAAGATAGAAAGGACAAGAGAAAGCTTGATCCAGCTCCTGGTAAATAGCAGGTCTATACAAACTGTAAATAATTTCTTCAGTTAACTATAAAACACCACATTGGTCTTTTGTCTATAGTTTCTCCCATTCAACTCCACAACCCCAGGACCATCTTTGCCAAATCCCTTTCTCCTCATGATTCTAATTGTTAATAATCATATCTAGATCAAATCAGGTACAGTAGCCTGGCTGGGTATTAAGAAGCATGACTATAGTCCCAGGTTCTGGGAAGCTAAAAAGATCAACTAACTGCATCTCCTAAAGTTTCCCAAATGTTACCTCTTAATTCTTTCCAAGATTCCTCTGTGAAATCTAAAGTGCCTACCTCTTCCTTGATCCCAGAAACCTCTTTCCTCTCTTCCTTGCCCACTAACCTGGACTGTCTCCTCTAAGACAATCCAGATTCATTTCTTCCTTTGGGACAGAGTACCCTAACTCACAACTTCCTAACGAGAATGCACATGTCTTGAATGGATTATAGGAATATCTAGGATATTGATCCCCTTGCCCTTCAGGCAGCCAGGCTTTTAGTTATGAGTAGTTTATGTCAATGGACCACCCAATTACCATTCTTTATGTATGCCATAATTTGAAAAAGATTGTGAAGTAGTAACCTAATCTCACCTTCCACAAATCCACTTATGCCAAAATGGCATAGTTTTTTATTAACTACCTGGTTGGGTAGATGACTGCAAGATACTGGTATGAAAGAATATGGAATTATGAATTATTAGAGTTACTCTAGTTCTGTAGCCTTGGGCAAGTCACAATTGTTCTAAGACTCAGTGTCTTCAGGAATAAAATGTATATACGCACATACACTAGCGGGACTGGTCCCAGGCCACCCTGCAGATAACCAAAACCCAAAGATGCTCATTCCTTATATAAAATGGCACACTATTTGCATATAACCTCTATTAATTTAAACTATCTCATAATACCTTTAATACCTAATACACGTGTGTGGGTGCTCAGCTGCTCAGTCATGTCCGACTCTTTGTGACCCCATAGACTGTAGCCTGCCAGAGAAGGCAATGGCACCCCACTCCAGTACTCTTGGCTGGAAAATCCCATGGACGGAGGAGCCTGGTAGGCTGCAGTCCATGAAGTCGCTAAGAGTCTGACACGACTGAGCGACTTCACTTTCACTTTTCACTTTCATGCATTGGAGAAGGAAATGGCAACCCACTCCAGTGTTCTTGCCTGGAGAATCCCAGGGACGGGGGAGCCTGGTGGGCTGCCATCTATGGGGTCACACAGAGTCGGACACGACTGAAGTGACTTAGCAGCAGCAGACTGTAGCCCGCCAGGCACCTCTGTCCATGGGATTTTCTAAGAACAAATACTAGAGTAGGCTGCCACTTCCTCCTCCAGGGAACCTTCCCCATCCAGGGACTGAACCCAGTGTCTCCTGCACCTCCTGCGTTGGCAGGCAGATTCTTTACCAATGCGCCACCTGGGGAGCCCATACCTAATACAATATAAATGCTATATAAATAGTAGTAAATTCAATGTAAATTATATGTAAATAGTTGCCAGGGTGTGGCAAATTCAAGTTTTTTGAAACTTTCTGGAATTTTTTCTTTAGTATGTTCAATCCACAGTTGGTTGAATCCACTGATGCAAAACTAACAGATACAACAAGCCAACTGTTTACATACACCTCTCAAGCTAGTTGTATGACTCAAAATCTACAAGCATAGAAAAATTCCAAATGGTAGGTACCAGTTATCATTAGTAATAAATGTTCCTTGAGTTAACTGGGTAACAATAAGATCCATATACTGAAAACAATTCAAACTGAAAAGGTTCAGAGATTTTTTTCAGGCCTCTCAAACTGTCAGGTCTTTCATTTGTCCAACTCCACCTTTAAGCTGCCCAGAGCTGCCGTGAAATAGATTCCGAAGAAACCAATTTGCATAGTTCTGGCATTAGGAGTTAATTTTTCCACTACCTAAAGTATGAAGAAATCTTCCAGACTGGGTGATTTACTATTATGCATATCTTTCCAATTCTGAAACCATTCCAAACTTCCACCATAGTTTTTAATTGCCCTCAAGATTTACACCTGAACTATGAACAACTGTTTATCTATTTACAATCCCAAAGCCCTCCCTGTGAGATTCTGCCAGTGAAGATTTCCCAAAGGGCATTTTTACTAAAGTGGTAATAAATAACATTATTTTGACCTGGAGACCCTTAGCAATGGCAAGGAATCAAAACAATGTGTCGGGCTTACTATCTTCTGAGCTGTCAATTACCTGATAGGAGAGTGGATGGTTGAAAAGAAAGGACCCTTTGGAAGAATCAATAATTAAGTAATGAATCACTGTAGTCTCAGGGGGCCCAAAGAAGTCTACAAAGGGTTGGGACGCTTAGATACCCTATCACCATGTTATGAAATTGCCTCTCTCTCCAAGGTCATCTCCTGCCTCCACAGCCTCCCCTCCTCCCTTCCCTTTCATGTGAACCTAAGCCCAGTCAGACTGAACCACCCCAGTGGGCCATGTTCTTCCACAATTCTTTGATTTGACTCACACTGTCCTTTTCCCTCTACCCTTCCCTTTCTCTTTGCTCAGCGAAACTCCTACAGTTCTTTCAAGATCCACTAGACTGCAAGTTCCCTGACTGTACAAATCATAAACTTTTGAGAGAGTTTTATCTTAAGTACCTAGCAAAGTAGGAATTCAATTAATAAGTGGATGAACGGAAGCTCAAAAAAGCTTGCCTGACAAGCACAGCACCTCTGCCTCGCTGCTTCCCAAAACACACACAGAGTTGACTGCCCCTTTCAATATTCCCATGCTATCCTGTGATTAATTCTATCACATCATTTTTCACACTTACTGTAATTATCTGTGAATTTCATGATGCTAAGATAATGTAATTCTTTATCTCAGAACTCTGCACAATGCTTGAGACCCGAGGGTGGGGGTAGAGGGGCGCCGGGGTGGGTGCCGAGGAGGCTCTACAATGTTTGTTGAATAAGTAACTGGATACATATGCCAAAGTGCCCGAGAATATCTGAATATTTGAGCCTTCCTCCAGCCCGCATCCCATTCTGACCATTTCTGCGCTCCTAGTGCGCGTCCTGCCCCGGTTTCCTCCTCCAATGAGGCTGCTGCAGAGCCCTCCTTCGCAACTCCCCACAAACAGAGCCCCGGCCGGCTCTGGCCAATTCAAGTCCAACTGCAGAGCTGCTCCTTTGGCGGACCCAGGCCCCTCTCGAGCTCCCTCCGAACTGTGTGGAGGCTGACGATGGAGCCGCGGCCGGAGACGCGGCGGGAAGGCTGACCCGGTACTGCCGGGCTCCCACCTGCTCGGGCGCCGCCGAACCTCGGTGCGCGCCGGGCGGCTGCACCTGGGAGGGCGGGCTCCCGCGCGGCCGATCCTCAGCATCCGCACCTCTCGAGGGGCGACCTCCAACCTAGCTCCTGCCCCTCCACCCACCATCCCCGAGCTCGGGCCGCCCCTTCCTCGGGCCCGGGCCTGAGGTGGGCAGCCCAGACCAGTGCCTGGTCCCTGGCCAGGAACGGGGTCCAGGGCTCCGACGCACCGGCCGGCGGCCCCGCGGCCTCCGTCGCCGGACTCGGCCCTCAGTCTCCAGACCCCAGCGTCCCGCCGAATTCCCGGCGCGGCGGGGCGGGGATCCGCGGCGCAGAGCGCACTGACCTGGAAGTGCAGCGCCATCTTCCCGGGAGGCGGCGCCGGTCAGCGCCCCGAGCGCCCGAGGGGAGGGAGCGTAGGCGTGCGCCACCGAAGCCCCAGCCGCCCGCGGGGTCCCTGCGCCGCTCGCTCGCTCGTCGCTTCAGCCTCACGACCGTCGCGCTCGAAGCGCCGGACAGGGCGGGGCCGGCCGGGTGGGGCGAGCGCGGGTGGGCGGGCCCGACGGGGCGGGGACCGGGGGCAGGAATCTAAACTGCCCCCTCCCCCACCGCGCTCACGTTTCAACGGCCGCTGCCTCAGGTGGGTGGTGATGTCAGACCCTTGACCCTTGACACAACCCCCTCCGCGCAACTGCCGGCCGAGGGTGCCGACTACGTCTCCCACGGACTCTCTTTGACCTTAACTCCTAGAGCGCAGCTATTGCCTACGGCTTCTGACGCCCCCATTTCCACAAGTTTTCTTGTTTCCTAACACTCACTTGTTAATGTCAACTGCTATCCTTGGTCCCTGACTCCCAGAACCCAGGTTTCAGGTATTTTAAACTTTTGGTTAAAATTAAACTGACAGTATCTATATATTGTCAAGTTGTAAAATTCTAGTGCACTTAACTTCTTGTCTATATTTCATTTAACATGAACTTAATTTTACACTAAATAATTCCACTGCAATGAGAAGTCACTCCTTTCCAGTGCTTTTCATTTCCTGTTTAAGTTTGACACTTCCAGTTGGTGGGTGTCATTGTACTTTAGAGTGAAAAAAATACCTCATATAGTTCAGGTTTTGTGTGTTTTTTTGTTTTTTTTTTTTTGGTTCAGGTTTACTAGTGGCAAATTCTCTCGGCTTTTATTAACATAAAAACGTCTTTATTTCACGTACATTTTTTTTTAAAGCTAGTTTTGCTGGGTATAGAATTCTATTTTGACATTTAAATTTTTTTCTGCACTTATAAAATGCCTTTCTCTTGGTTACTGATTGCCTTTATTTCTATTCAGAAATTAGCTGTCAGTCTGATTTTTGCTCCTTTGAAGGTAATATGTCTCCTTCTCCCACCCTTGGCTGCTTTAAAATTTTTCCTCTTTCTTTTTGGTCTTCAGCATTTTGAGTGTGATGTAACTGTGTGTGTGTGTGTGTGTGTGTGTGTGTGTGCCTGCTTGGGATTCATAAAGCTTCTTAAATATGATATCTGATTTTTTTCTTACTAATTTCTGAAAATTCTTGGTCAGTATGTGTTTAAATAACTGCTTCTGTCCCATTCTTCTCTTTCTGGAACTCCAATTACAGGTATGTTAAACCTTTTATAGAGTTTTCCATGTCTCTTATACTCCTTTTTGTATTTTTGTCTTCTTTTCTTATTGTAGTTTCATCTGCATATTTTTACTGACCTTTCACCTAAGTCAGTAGAAACCCTATTCTGCTGTGTCTGAGCTGGTATACAGCCCATTTATTGAATTCTTAATTTTAGTTATAATATTTTCAGTTCCAGAATTTTCATTTGACACCTTCCCTTCCATTCTTTGAATAGATTCAAAGGTTCTGGTGAAATTTATCATTCCTTTATTTTCTTGAACATTTTAGTGATATTATTTAAAGCCCCTATCTGATATCTACAATATCTTAGTCAATATGTGGGTACTCCTGTCTTCTATAATTTGGTCCTATTTTTTCAGGCTTGTCTCATGATTTCTTATTGAAAGTCAGTGTGGAAGAAAAACTGTAGAAGTTTTGGATGATATGAACTTTCTCCATAGAAGGTTTTTTTTATTTTTATTGTAGTAGGCAGATAGAATAACAGAGGATCACTTCAATCCTATTGAGACTTTGCTTTAGACTTTTAAATTCAGATTTATTTCAGTTTTACCCTTATTCCTAGGTCATGGTACTCAGTTGATCTTACAGTTAAAAGCCTGGTGTGTTTACTAAGACACCTCCATCCTATGGGCTTGAACTCCTAATCCCTGTCTCCCCAGTTCTGTGCAACTGCTTAAATCTCTGTTCAACTCTTTAGATGCTGCTGTTCTGCTAAGTTCTTAAAGTCTCTCCCAACAGGTATACATCTTAACAACTGACTGATGATTTGAGGGAAGTCTGTACACAGATTTTGGGGCTCACATCTCAGCAGTTTGCTCCTCTAGAAATTTGTCCCTCAAATCTCAGCTCCTTTTGTTCTCAGACTCCAATGTCTGCTCCTAGCCTACTGAGATTGCTGCTGTCCATTTAGCTCTGCTAATCCTTGTGCCAATTGAAAAATTCTTTGGAGGGGGAGGAAGGGATGAAAAGAGCTGAGTTAAATCTAGATCTTGTCCTTAGTACTTTCATGCTCTCAAGGATTGAAGCCAACCAAGTCCTGCCTTTGTTGGTTGTTGTCTAGTATCTTCAAACTATATATCTGTGTATAGTTGTTAATATATGTCAAATTATTGTTCAGTTCAGTCACTCAGTCATGTCTGACTCTTTGCACCCCATGAATCGCAGCACACCAGGCCTCCCTGTCCATCACCAACTAAATATTGTTAAATAATTTAAATATATATTTGTTTCTTTCTAGTTGTTGTATATGTAATATGAGTGTTAAATATATATGTATATTTATGTACATTTGTCCTATTTTTGTAATTGTTTTCTATGGGAGGTCTAATCCAGCATAAGCTAATTCATTATGACTAGGCTATTTGCATCTTCCATACTTCACACTTGATTTTCATAGCTCATCCAGAACCCACACATCCTCATCCCCACAGCTCAACTCATAAATGTTAAAATCTTTGATACCTTTATCATGCCATTTTGTGCTATTTCCTAAAGGTTTTGATTCCTATATTTTAACTTTTATTTCCATGTCCCAAGACTTTTGACATCCAATCGTATATGTGATTCCCACAGTCCAACATTCCTGACTCTCTCAACCCAAGCAGCAGTGATGATTTCTGACCTTCCTATTGCACATGCCACACAATAAATACCTCATTATTTTAACTGCTTATAGCTTTTGCCTAACTTCTAGATCTCAACCACATTTTAAAGCTATTTTTTTTTGAGCATGAAAATAAAATCTTTATTTTCAGTTATCACCCACCAATAAGAGAAAGTTAGGTTCACAGTTTTAGCTCGTGACAAAGTGAACTAGGAGGCAAATTTACATCCATCAGATACAACTAATGGACTGACTTTTAGAATCCAGGCGATCTTGAAAGCTTGCAACATACCAGATATTGCTGTGTATTCTCTAGTGACAGAATGCCAGCAATGGCTGACAATGAGTAGAACTTGTTTTTTTAATAGGTGTTTTCTATATGTTGCTAGAAATCAGGTTTATTACATGTTCCTGTCCAAAAATGAGTTAAGATACTTTAAACACACTACCTATGGGTATGTTGAGGAATGTGTATGTTGCAATCTCAAGAGGGGTCAATAGTCCATATGGACTAAATTGATACTTGCCTCTGGGTAGCAGGTATGTTTGTAAATATAAAATTATGTTTAACATTAGCACCAGTGCAGAACATGCCCAGCATCATAAGATCCAAAACACCAGCACAAGCTTATCCACCATTTAAAAAACCAATTACCCTCTTCCTAAAATGCCAAACTAGTAGGTCACTAGATCAATTAATCTAATCCCAATGCATAACTCTTGTACTGTATGGTTTCTCCTTTAGAAGTATAGGGGAAAACTAATGAGCTAGAGACATTTTATGACTTAATGTCTTATATCAAGTATTTTTAAAATTGGACATTACCACGTAGATAGAAAATTACTAATAGTGACAAAAAGATCTTTAAATCTGCAAATAAAGCCCCTCAATGTTGCAAAAGACTTAAAAAAGAAAATCCTAAAAAGGCTGTTTATTCTCTCCAGGTATGTTTTAGTAAGTGGTCTTGATCAAAGAATCCATTATTAACCTAATTTTGTAACAGAGGAAGAGGTAAAAAGATACTTGTTACCTTCTACAGAATCTATCAACTTAAGACCAAAATTAATAGCAATATAGGAAATTTGGAAAGAGTAAAATGTTTGGTTTTCATTTCATGGATGGTGCTGCTGTTCCAACCTTATAAAGTAAAGCTGTCCACTTTCCACACCCCAGAAATTAACAACCTCCAACCTTACCGTACTAACCAGTGCCCTTTGGTTTCGAGCAAGGAAGAGTTAAAGGGTTGATTATGGATGTACAATTTTGATTTTGGGACCTTTCACACATACAAATCATACTGAGCAGCCACTTACTTTACAGAGCAGTTAAAATGTTAACACATTAGCCAAATTAACCTGTTCTACCCACCCTATTGGAGGAGGAAAAATCCAACACCCATAAAACTACTTCACTTGACAGTATGTGTCTATCAACAATAAGTAGCTTAAACAACTTTTACCAGTAAGGTGTCTAGACTGATTTTTAAAATGGGCAAGTGACATTTTAAAAGTAAATATAATTGAAATTGAATCAATTATAATTTGAACCTAATGAACCATGCAGGAGCAAGGGTTAATAAATCAATGTGCTTTGAATTTGTTCAAGTACTGGTATTTCTGTATATAAAGATTTAGCATATATAACAGCTATCATGAGAAGTGAAAAAGACCTTATCCCCAGAAATGAAAATATTAAAACTAAGTTAAAATACATAAAGTAGTTAGTATTCCACACAGCATAAAATTTGACAAAGTTTACATGTCCCAGTTGACCATGTGTGAAAATGCAAAGCAGGTATTAAAACTGATATTATTATGTCCAATATTTAAAACCAGTTTGTAATAGGGGGAACATCTAAATCCTTAATTAAAAAACACAAATGAAGTGAAAGCTTTAAACTGGTACACACTGTTCACACCTATATTTCAAGTTTGGAAATGCATATTTGCAAGCAGCAATACAAAAGTATTCATGAAGAATGCATAATCTCTGAAAATTATGAAAACATCCCTGCTACCAATACATTTCTAAATACAAAACTGACTACCATATTGTTACTTCTGTGTAGCAGGAGAAGTTCATTTTCAAAACAGATAAAATTCAGTCTTTAGGTGTGAATGGTATGAATGACAGTCTTTTTTTTTTGTTTTTTTTTTTAATTTCTTAGTCATTTGGGATCCTTAAGCATGCAAGCCTCAAAGAGGAGGGTCCACAAAGGAACCAGGGCTGTCTTATGGCATCCAGTTAAGCCAGAGCTGGGAATGCCTCTGGGTCATCCACATCAGGAGCAGAAGCACTTGACTTGTCAGTCCTGATGCCACGGTTTGGACGTCCACCACGCCCACGGCCACCTCGTCCTCCCCTGCCACCACGTCCTGGGCGGCCAAGGTCTCCAAAATTGATCTCCAGCTGAGATGTAATATCATTTGCTGGCTTCCGGAAATGGTGATCCATAACTGAGTCTTCAGCATAAGCCTCTTCACTTTTTGATTTATGAAGAACAAATCCCTTCTTCCACTGCCCATCAGCACCTTCATTTGGTTTTCGGATATTAAATTCTACTTTTGCCTGGTCCTTATTTTGAATAGCCTTCCACTCATCCAAAGTCATTTCTTTTGGACCCTCTTCCTTTACTTCTTCAACTTCATTCTCCTTATTTTCAGTGTCCGCAACTGGATGTTCTTCACCTTCAGGTGTTTCCTCAGTCACATTTGATTGTTCCAAGTCAGTTAATTCATCTTTGACAGTTCCCCAGTTGTGAGATCCGCTCCCTCCACGTTTGTCCCCATGCTTCAGGCCACTGTAATGTGAAAAAGAAGATCTATCACTTCCACTATGCCTATCAAATTCACGTTTGCCACGAGAATCAAAGCCATCTCCCCGGCCCATTCCTCGTCCACGACCTCCTCGACCTCTTTCAAGACCACCACGGCCTTGGATAGGCCGGTCAATAATCGGTCTATCAACAGAAAATTCTCCTCCTTCACCCTTTTCTTCAAGTGGCTTTTCAAATCTTCTTTCACGAGGTGGTCGCCTTTCTGGTCTCCTATCAATTATCTTCCCTTCACCCTGAAGTTGTTGATCAGGTCTTCTTCCTTCTTTCTTAAGCGCCACAGGAGGCTGCGTCTCCTCCTTCTTGTCAACCACGCCGACGCTGGGGGGCAACGGATTCTTGCGGTCTTTCTGAGACTCTTTACGTAGCTGTTTCCCCGCCGCATTAGAGTTGGTCTGAGCTGCGGCCTGAGCTGTGCTCTTGGCCCCAGGGCCCCCGACGCCGCCCCCGCTGGCTTCTTTTTTCTTGTTCTCTGCTGCCTTCAACACCTCGAAGGGGTCCGATTCGTCGTCAAATAACTGGTCAAATCGGTTGGTGACCACGCAGCCGAAGCCTTCCTGTAAGTGCCCAGGCATGATGGTGGCTCGGCGGCGCGTTCCTCCACGGATTGCTAAAGCTATTTTTTAAAGTAGAACTTCTGTTACTTCAATTTTTAGGTCATTAGGAGAGGGAAAATTAGGTTTGATCATTTGTCTTTTTTCCCACTCCAGAATATCCTTGGCACAAGTATAAGGTTGTGGTAAAAACAGCATCTGACTATTCTGTGGATTCACCAGGTAATTCTGGAAATAAGAAATAAATTATTTTTTTCCTTTTAAATTTGAGTGACCACAGAAGATTTCTGTTTAATTATCACTCTTTTCCATGATTTTCTATCAACAAAATATGTACACAACTCCATATCTTTTTGTCAATTAATAAAATTTAAGATAGAATTGTGTCATTGCAGCTATTAAAATTAGCACAGAAGATGCTCTAGGATGTCAAATAATTCATTTCTATCACAAAACTCAATTAAAGGAAGGACATTTAGAGCCCTTAGGAATTACAAAATTATCTCCTTTATGGCAACTAGCCTTCTAAAAAAGACAGATAGATCTTTAATCTTTGTATCTTTTTAGAGGATTCAATTAGCATATGTAATTCTGGTGCTTTAGGAAATTCACCTAACAACTCTTAGTTTTGACTTATTATTTCTAAGGTCAGGATAACAGTAAGTCTGTAATTCAAAAATTTTGCAAGAAGTAATATTGAGATGAGACAGTCAATCACAGTGGTTAGGAGAAGAACAGGAAGCTCAACAGCCTGGATTAGGACACCAGCTCCATCACTTACTAGCTGGTAAACTTATGGAAGTTACTTAACCTCTCCGGGTCTTCATTTCCTCAACTATAAAATGGAGACTACTAGTAATATCTCATAGGTTGCTGTGATGATTCATGAGTTTATATATAATAATAAGTGCTCCATTTTCAGGCTTCCCACGTGGCTCAGCAGTAAAGAATCCAATTGCCAAGGCACGAAAATACAGGAGATGTGGGTTTGATCCCATGATCAGGAAAATCCCCTGGAGGAAGAAATGGCAACCTACTCCATTGTTCTTGCCTGGAGAATCCCAAGGAGAGAGGAGCCCATAAGCTGCAGCCCACAGGGACACAACTAAGCAGGCACACACAAATACTTTATCCTTGGCACAAGTATAAGGTTGTGGTAAAAACAGCATCTGACTATTCTGTGGATTCACCAGGTAATTCTGGAAATAAGAAATAAATTATTTTTTTCCTTTTAAATTTGAGTGACCACAGAAGATTTCTGTTTAATTATCACTCTTTTCCATGATTTTCTATCAACAAAATATGTACACAACTCCATATCTTTTTGTCAATTAATAAAATTTAAGATAGAATTGTGTCATTGCAGCTATTAAAATTAGCACAGAAGATGCTCTAGGATGTCAAATAATTCATTTCTATCACAAAACTCAATTAAAGGAAGGACATTTAGAGCCCTTAGGAATTACAAAATTATCTCCTTTATGGCAACTAGCCTTCTAAAAAAGACAGATAGATCTTTAATCTTTGTATCTTTTTAGAGGATTCAATTAGCATATGTAATTCTGGTGCTTTAGGAAATTCACCTAACAACTCTTAGTTTTGACTTATTATTTCTAAGGTCAGGATAACAGTAAGTCTGTAATTCAAAAATTTTGCAAGAAGTAATATTGAGATGAGACAGTCAATCACAGTGGTTAGGAGAAGAACAGGAAGCTCAACAGCCTGGATTAGGACACCAGCTCCATCACTTACTAGCTGGTAAACTTATGGAAGTTACTTAACCTCTCCGGGTCTTCATTTCCTCAACTATAAAATGGAGACTACTAGTAATATCTCATAGGTTGCTGTGATGATTCATGAGTTTATATATAATAATAAGTGCTCCATTTTCAGGCTTCCCACGTGGCTCAGCAGTAAAGAATCCAATTGCCAAGGCACGAAAATGCAGGAGATGTGGGTTTGATCCCATGATCAGGAAAATCCCCTGGAGGAAGAAATGGCAACCTACTCCATTGTTCTTGCCTGGAGAATCCCAAGGAGAGAGGAGCCCATAAGCTGCAGCCCACAGGGACACAACTAAGCAGGCACACACAAATACTGATTTTATTATCAAGTAAATCCATATTCTTTGAATATCATATTTAAGTCAGTATTTTAATGGAATTGTATTATGAATTTAATCAGTTAATTATTCTATACTTTTTTACTTTGTAAATTTACTATCCAATTGGATATTACCTCATTGTCCCTCCTGCCCCACCCACCTGTTCAATCCTGAAAATTTTTGAAAGGCTGTGACATTACCTACATTAACATTTCTTTTTCTCATGTTTTCATATGTGGTAGGACTGAAACTTCAAAATGATTCAACTAAAATTCTCACTTTATGAATACTTAAAATGTAAAACCTATAATCAATCATTTACTCTAGTAACACATATAAGCAAAATATAGAAAGAATTAGTACACATTTCCCTTAGATGTATTCTGCAAATGTAATTTTATTAAATACACTTAGTAAAATTGCTTAATATGTCAGTAAGTTTGGGGAATCCAGCAGAGGGCAGGCAGGTAAGAGAAATAGAAGGAGAATACATCCAATAAATTCAAATTTACATAAAACCCCTCCAAAACACAAAAGTCCTGTAAAATATTGACCTATGTAGATTTCTTTCATGTTAGTTGATTTCTACTATATTTTTGTTTTGTCAAGTGATTAAACTCCATTTATTTAAATATATAGTGTGAAACCAGAGTAAAAAAAATTTTTTTTCTTCACTAATGATATGGGCTTCACCAGTGGCTCAGCAGTAGAGAATCCACCTGCAATGCAGGAGATGGAGGCAATAGACATGGGTTCGATCCCTACATCAGGAAAATCTACTAGAGAAAGGAAATAGCAACTCACTCCAGTATTCTTGCCTGGAAAATGCCAATCCATGGATTGCAAAAGTCAGACATGACTGGGTGATTAAACAACAACAAAATGATATGGATATGGATGTGGATATGAATTATTTCACAATCTTGATTAGTACATATATACTAAAAACTATGCATACTTTTTCTTTAAATGACTTATTTTAATTCAGTGGTAATAATAAGGGTATACTGCTTTGTATTAATAATGCCATTTTTTGACAAATTAAGAAAAGTAATATTTCTCATTCTGTACATTGATTTCTTCACTGACAAACCTAGAGAGCATTCTGGACATTGCCTTATATTACTTGCATATCACAAGCTGGAATCAAGATTGCTGGGAGAAATATCAATAACCTCAGATACACAGATGATACCACTCACAGCAGAAAGTAAAGAGGAACTAAAGAACCTTTGGATGAGGGTGAAAGATGAGAGTGAAAAAGCTGGCTTGAAACTCAGCACTAAAAAAAACTAAGATCATGGTACCCAGTCCCCTTGCTTCATGGCAAATAGAAGGGGAAAAAGTGGAAGCAGTGACAGATTTTATTTTCTTGGGCTCCGAAATCACTGCAGATGGTGACTGCAGTCATGAAATTAAAAGACACTTGCTCATGGAGAGGAAAGCTATGACAAACCCAGACAGCATATTAAAAAGCAGAGACATCCCTTTGCCAACAAAGGTCTGTCTAGTCAAAGCTATGGTTTTTCCAGTAGTCATGTACGGATGTGAGAGTTAGATCATGTAGAAGGTTGAGCACCAAAGAACTGATACTTTTGAATTGTGGTGCTGGAAAAGGCTCTTGAGAGTCCCTTGGGCAGCAAGGAGATCAAACCAGTCAATTCTAGAGGAAATCAACCCTGAATATACATTGGAAGGACTAATGCTGAAGCTGAAACTCCAATACTTTGGCCACCTGATGCAAAGATTCTTTGGAAAAGACCCGGATGCTGGGAAAGATTGAAGGCAAAAGGAGAAGGGGACAACAGAGGACAAGATGGTTGGACGGCATCACCAACTCAGTGGACATGATTTGAGCAAACTCCAGGAGATGTTGGAGGACAGAGGAGCCTAGTGTGCTGCAGTCCATGGGGTCGCAAAAAGTCGAACATGACTTAGTAACAGCAACTTGCATATTAGTTCCTCCACATAATAATAAAGAGTTTAAGGCACTGATTACATAAGAATTATGTTGATATGCATCTTAAATTACTGCTAAAAAAGGTCGTGATAATATGTGACCTGGTATACAGTGCTATTCTGAAAAGCTATTTTGCAATTTATATCAAGAACTTTAAAAACGTTCATTATCTTCACCCAACTTCTAGAAAGTGATTCTAACAAAATAGCCTAATTTTTAAAAAGTTTTTTATGCAAAGATATTTATTACAGCATGGTTTGCAATTGGAATAAGCAGAAATGCTTAAGTAGATTATGGTACAACGTATGGCAGAATCCTCTGTAGTCATTAAGAATTATATTTATGAAGAGTTTTGTAAAAAAAATATGGAAATGTGTTCTAAGGTTAAGTGTAGAAGGGAAAAATGGAACAATATATCATTTCAATCAAATGAAAAAAGCATAGAAAACAGGAATGGAACAGAATACAAACAAATATTAACAAGGCTGTCTTATGAATGGTGGAATTAAAAAGTTTTTTTTTCTCTTCTTCATCATGTTTCTGTGTTTTCAACATTTTCTAAAATATACATTATTCACTTTTATAATGAGAGAAAAACTTGTAGCAAAAAGTGATCCTGAAATAGATGACCATTAATCTTATGAATGTACTTAATATTAACAAAGTGCTAATGACAGGTCTTTCAAGGAAAGACCGATTAGAAAAGCTGAACTTGACCAGACAGGCACTACTGCCACAAATCTCTTTTGGAACAAGGCAAAATGTGGATATGGTGTGTGTGTGTATGTAAATTTTTTAAATAATATAATCTTAAATTGAAACAGAAAATATAAAATGTGTAAACTCTAGGGGAACAGGGCAGAGAAAAAGACCTATTGCTAGTCATAGCCCATTTTATGCACAGAGCTACTTACCAGAAATAGGCATGTCCCCATTTCAAGTGCTTTCTTTTAAAAGATTTCCGTAAAATACATTTAAAACCGTATCAGTGATAGCAATACTATTTAACTGTTTTTAGAGTAAAATTAATTTGAACTAAAATATAAAATTAGGTCCTTCACATACTAATATTACTTTGCACAGGCAAAATCTATACTATTTCTCAGAGCCCTGGAGAAGGACATGGCAGCCCACTCCAGTACTCTTGCCTGGAAAATCCCATGGACAGAGAAGCCTGGTAGGCTGCTGTCCATGGGGTCACAAAGAGTTGGACACGACTGAGCGACTTCACTTTCACCTTCTTAGAACCCAAGTCCCTTCCTTAGACGTCAACATTTTCTTTTTGCTAAGAGTTATGTTCTAAATTTACTGTGAGGATAGCCAGCTAACCAAGCAAGTCTCTTACTATAAGGAAAAATGAGAGTGCCTAAGAATATCTCAAGGAAAACCAGGTTGTGAACTCTCTTCTATCTCCTTCCCTTTCCTGTCTCCCATGTCCCCTGCCCCAGCACACATTAACACCATTCCCACAATTAGGTTACATCATATTCAGAAGCTTAGGAGAGATGATACCCACATTAAATCCTTTCAAATTGCAGCAATTTATTTTAAAAGAGTGTTTATATCATTTTGTCCTGATTATAGAAGAAATCTATGGTTTTTATATAAAATTGCATGATACAGAATTGTATAAAATCAAAAGTAAAAATTACCAAGAATGACAGCCTCTCAAAATAACCTATTTTAATATAGCAGCATGTCTTGCCATTCCTCTGTCTCTGCACATTCATTTATGGACAAAAAATATTTTTTGATAGGAATGAGATCATGCTATAAAACTGTTTTGTACCTTGATTTTTCTGTTTAACAGAATGTGCATTTTAGATGTATTTCAATGTAAGTATTATAAGTCTACCTTATTTCTTTTTTAATAACTCCATATTCCTCCATATGTGTATACTATGATTTATCTAATCAACCCTGTACTGAGAGAAATTTACTTCTTTTTACTTAGTAACTAAAGCTTATAGTAGCAATGTTAAGTGAACTAACATATGCTCTATAACTAGGAGAGGCAGAAAAGACAAAATTTTGCCCTCAGGGCATCTGCAAACACTGCTCCAAAAAGGCATTCCCAGGTTAACTGGTACATAAGTTGATTATACATATACTCTTATGTTGTATGTTGACTTATACATACAGTTTATTGTTCTCCAAGAACACTTCATCTTGTATATTGTCACCCTGTGTATTTAAATTATATGTAGAGCACATCATGAGAAACACTGAGCTGGATGAGGCACAAGCTGGAATCAAGATTGCTGGAAGAAATATCAATAACCTCAGAAATGCAGATGACACCTACCTTATGGCAGAAAGAGAAGAACTAAAGAGTCACTTGATGAAAGTGAAAGAGGGGAGTGAAAAAGTTGGCTTAAAGCTCGACATTCAGAAAACAAAGATCATGGCATCCGGTCCCATTACTTCATGGCATATAGATGGGGAAACAGTGTCAGACTTTATTTTTTGGGGTTTCAAAATCAACTGGAGATGGTGACTGCAGCCATGAAATTAAAGGATGCTTATGCCTTGGAAGGAAAGTTATGACCAGCCTAGACAGCATATTAAAAAGCAGAGACATTACTTTGCCAACAAAGTTCTGTCTAGTCAAGGCTATTCTTTTTCCAGTGGTCATGTGTGGATGTGAGAGTTGGACTATGAAGAAAGCTGAGCACCAAAGAATTGATGCTTTTGAACTGTGGTGTTGGAGAAGTCTCTTGCGAGTCCCTTGGACTGCAAGGATTTCCAACCAGTCCATCCTAAAGGCAATCAGTCCTGAATATTCACTGGAAGGACTGCTGTTGAAGCTGAAACTCCAATACTTTGTCCACCTTATGCAGAGATTCTTTGGAAAAGACCCTGATGCTGGGAAAGCTTGAAAGTGGGAGCAGAAGGGATGACAGAGGATGAGATGGCTGGATGGCATCACTAACTCAATGGACATGAGTTTGAGTAAGCTCCAGGAGTTGGTGATGGACAGGGAAGCCTGACATGCTGCAGTCCATAGGGTTGCAAAGAGTCAGACACGACTGAGTGACTGAACTGAACTGAAGAACACTTCTGAGCATTGAAGGGGGGAGATACTAATGCATACTCTGGGCTAATCATGAAGCCATCCTGTAGGGTGGAGCTAAGGTTTATACTGGCTGTGAGAAAAGAAGTTGGAGGAGTCACTGTGGGCAAGCATGGTGAAGGGGACTTCTCTGTAGAGGGCTGGTTGGCAAGCCTGTCAGATTCTAAATGGGGTAAGGAGAGCATTCCATTGTGAGAGTGGTCCTCGGAGTATACAGAACCCAGCAGAGGAGGAGGGTATCCACACAAGAGTTTTGGCCAATTGTGGGATTTTGGAGCCCAGGTGACATGAAGAGAGTATGTGTGCACTGAGGGCATGTTGGGGGCATAGTACAGGATTTTGATGTTCAACAGGCCTGATAAAGGCATCTATGCAGGTGTGTGGTAGGGGCTAGCTCGGCCTGGGAAGGGTGAAGGGAGTGTTTACGTGGAGTGGTGTCCTATAAGAGGTGTCAGAGCCCAAGCAGAGAAAGAAGATATCAATGCAGAGGAGAAATTGGCAATGGAGTTGGAAAACTAATTGGGAAATTGATGAAATAAATATGTAACAATAATGGAAGTCAGATTTTTCACTGTGGGAAAAAGAAATTACAAATATGGAAAGGGGGAAAACTAGGATGAACCTTGTGGTGTTGGATTAAGATTAGAAGTATCAGTGAAAATTCATGGTTTTCAATATGTAGAGAAAAATATAGAAATAAATTTAGGTGCATATATATATATACCTACATATATGCCTACTGAGAGTTCCTGAGGTCAGCAATACCCCAACATTAATGAGCACACCTAACATCCAGAACTTGGCCTCTAAAAGTTATTTTCTACTTACAGGAACCAGTCCTATGGAGAAGTAGCAGATTCCAAATTGGGGCACGTAAGTACAAAATGTGTTTAGAGCATTTTTTGGTTGTCAAAAACTAAGGAAATCTTCAAAGAATGAAGGGGGCCTATCAAGAGACCATAAGAGCCAGCTTGAAGGGGCTCCCACTTGCCAAATCTAGGAAAAACCAGGCATCAAAGTAAATTATATTGATAGATTATAACATTTGATGAAGAATGGGTTATTTACATACTCTCATTGCAGTTCCTTGCAAAATACATACAAATTAAAGAAAGCAAAAAAGGGTAAGTTTTCATTGCAAAAATCTCATTCACCACCTTAATTGAGTGATTAACATAGATCATATTAGTAATGGGACAAATGTAAATCATGTGCCTCTTGACAGGATGCAGTAATAACACAGCATCATCTCTGATAGTCTCACAAAAGATGCATGTTCTGAATCTAATCTTGAAACATTATGATTAACATCAATCTCAAATTGAGAGATATTCTATAAAATAACTGGCCTATAATCTTCACAAATTCCAGGGTAATGAACCTCAGTGAAAGGCTGATCCACTAAGAAAACTAAAAGAGAAACAATAATTTAAATGCAATATGGGACTTCCCTGGCAGTCCAGTGGTTAAAACTCCACACTTGCAGTGCAGGGGGCACAGGTTTGATCTTTGGCTAGGGAAATAAGATCCCACATGCCACAACATGGCCAAGATTTTTTTTTTTTAAATGCAGTGCATGATTTGAACTGGATAATTTTGTAATAAAGGACACATTGGGAATACTTGGCAAACTTGAATGAGATCTAAGAATTAGAAGACAATAATGTATCAATGTTAATTTCCTGATTTCATGATTGTATTGCAGTTATGTAAAACAATGTCCTTGTTTATAGAAAATAAATACTGACATATTAGGGGATAAGATAATTGTGCTTCTTAAAATTGGTATGTGTCTTAGGTTTGAAGAAATTCAGTCAATGACAATTTTTATTATCTTTGAAACAACATCACTTAAATAGTTGGGTGCTCTATCCATACAGACAATAATCTGTACAATATTCCGAGACCCCTAGGACTGGTTCTTTGTAATGGCAGAATTCATTTTAAGAAAATAAATCCTCTGCGAGAAGGCCCGAAGCAGAGCACATCATGTCTTCTTTAGGAATATACTTGGATTACTGTTTCACAAAGGAAAAAATGAAGATACATTCCAGGTACATGCCAGTGATGCTTGCCACTAACTCACTGATAAGATCTCATTGGGTGATAATCTGAGAAGTCACAATGTTGGCCTCAGGAGTCCAGGGGAGCCTGTCTGAATGATGGGTGTACAACCAAATTTTAGAGTGTTAAAAGGAGACAGCGGTTGGGTAAAGCATCTGTCACCCTGCCTAAAAAGAGAGGCCATGTAATCATAGTGCTAAAAGCAACACTGAACCACTTTCAGGGTTCCCACTCTATAGAGTGACAGTAAAAACCTTCTCTGCAGATGCCCACTTACAGAGGGATCACAGTATATGTTTGGTTGGTGGTTTCTCTTTCAAGGTGATTTTCAAGAATTAAGATATTTGAAAATGGAAAACAATATATGGCATTTCCAAAGGCCCATCTTGAAACCAGATAATTTGAACATGGGTTGTACCAGAGACACTTCACAAGGGGATTGCCACAGACTTGGCACCTTCAGCGATGGCCTAGCATTAGCCATTTGTAAACAAGCCCTTTGTGTGTTCCTAGTGTTGGACATTTCACACACAGGCCCTGTTGGACTACCTCACCTGCAGATAGCCTGGTGATGACCATTCTCAGGAGACACCAGAATTTTGATGGGAGGAGAGTTTGGGAGAGAATGAATATATATATATGTATGTATGTATGTATGTATGTATGTATGTATGTATGTCTGAGTCCCTTTGCTTGAAACTATCACAGCATCATTAATGGGCTATACTCCAATATAAAATAAAAAGTTTTTTTTCTAAAAGAGACACCAGAATTTTGGAAATGGACCAAGCCAAGATATTTCTTTAATGAGCTATCCTAATCAAGCTTTCTTCCTCCATCTTTCTACTGCTCTACATTCACCCTCAAACATATACTTGAACAGTCTGTTTAAAACTGGGATAATGCACATCATTTTATAACTGTGTCTACTGCAATGCAATTGTAGATGGATCAGCCTTAGTCATTTCTCAAACTGGTTCACCAGCTCCAGACATTTTGCTTATTTGTATGGCAAACAACAGATTGCCTTGATGATTCAGTTCAGTTTAGTCACTCAGTCGTGTCTGACTCTTTGCGACCCCATGAATCACAGCACGCCAGGCCTCTCTGTCCATCACCNATCTTTGCATGAGATGTTCCCTTGGTATCTCTAATTTTCTTGAAGAGATCTCTAGTCTTTCCCATTCTGTTGTTTTCCTCTATTTCTTTGCATTGATCGCTGATTGCCTTGATGATTACCTATCGGCAGTTTTTTGCAAGTAGTATCCAATTGCACCTGCAATGTGAGAGACCTGGGTTCGATCCCTGGGTTGGGAAGATCAGTAAGAGGAGGGCATGGCAACCCACTCCAGTATTCTTGCCTGGAGAATCCCCGTGGACAGAGGAGCAGGGAGGGCTACAGTCCATGGGGTAACAGAGTTGGACACGACTGAGCTACAAAACACATTACAGCACAGTATCCAATTTCAAATGATTTTATTGATTCTTAGAATATATAAGGAATGTTATGCTAAGTTACCTCTTTGTGAAATAGAAGGTTACATTCATTTAAAACGTTAATCTTCTTCATTCAGCCTTTTTCACTTCCTGTATGATGCCTATCAAAAAATTTAGCACAGAGAAACATTTACTTTATCATTTGATTATTCCTTCTTATCAACTGAGATGATATTTGGTCATCATATGAATAAGATAGGCTCTTAAATGAGGAGAATACTGTTTTAAAAAACTAGATCCTAATTTACCTAGTTTTTGGAAATTTGGAAAGAGTGATTCGTTATATGTGAATTTTTACAGAAAATTTGACTTTCAAAAATGCATTGTTATTATACAAGTAAATATAGGTGGCATTTTTATGTGAAATGTCTATATTCTCATACAAATGTGTTTCCTTTCTCATAGTCACTGGCTTCATATTTTTTCTCTTCTTCAGTATAGTCTCCATAATTTGTATTTTTCTTTATGATTTGGTTCCTTGCAGGAATTTGCTATGTAAGTGAAGAATCTATATAGACAACAAGTAGGAGATTATATAAGTGAAAAATACAATGTATTTAAATAACTACTGGCCAGAGAGTAGATCTTTCTGTGCTATAGTTACCCACACCCACCCTATCTCTTTACCTCTTGTTATAGACTGAGTGTTTGGGTTCCACCAAAATTGATATGTTGAAACACTAATCTGCAACATAACTGTGTATGGAAAAGGGCCTGTGAGGAGGTGATAAAGATTAAACGAAGTCAACAGGGTAGGGCCCGAATGTGATAGGACAGGTATCCTCCTGAGAAAAGGAAGAGACACCAGAACTCTCTCTCTTCTCAACCATGTGAGGACACAGTGAGAAAAGGGCCGTTTGCAAACCAGGAAGAGAGTGCTAATTCAGAAATTGTACCCTGCTAGGCCTTTATCTTGGACTTTCCAGCCTCCAGAGCTGTGAGAAAACAAATTTCTGTTATTTAAGCCACATTATCTATGGTATTTTGTTATGACAGCCCCAGCAAACTTAGACACCCGTATTCTCTTCCTCCCAGTGCACACACCCCTCTCCATTACATACTGTTACTCATCTAGCCCCAGAATTCAACTATATACATATTTGGATTACTTTATTTTATTAGTAGATCTCACAGAGTATTTGAATTGAATAGGCACCACACATAATCATATTATTTATTTTTATTTGATGTACAAAGAACTGTGTTTTTAAGTGGCCAAGTTCTACTCTGCCTTTTCAGCTTTAGAATCTATGAAGGGCACTATTCATCTTGCAACTCTGAAAGCTTGTATCCTTTTACCAACTGCTTCCTATTTCTTCCACCCCACAAGCCCCTGGAAAACTCTCTGTTTCTGTGAGTTTTATTTTTTAAAAGATTCCACAGATAAGTAATATCATGCAGTATTTGTCTTTGTCTGGCTTATATAACTTAACAAAATGCCCTCAAGATCCACCCATGTCACAAATGACAGGGTTTTCTTCTTTCTCATGATTGAATAATATTCATATATATTATATTCATGTGTGTATCTATCTATCTTATTTATTCATTTATGGATACTGAAGTTGCTTCCATATCTTGACTATTGTAAATAAAGCCTCAATGAACATAGGAAGGCAGATATATCTTCAAGAAAGTAATTTTCTTTCCTTTGGATATGTATCCAGAAGTGGGACTGCTGGATCACATAATAGTTCTCTCTCTCTTTTTTTTTGAGGAATCTCCATACTGTTTTCCAAGATGATGGCATCAACTTCCATTCCCACCAACAGTGCCCTTTTCTCCACATTCTTCCCAGCATTTACTTCTTGTCTTTTTAATGACAGCCATTGTAACCGTTGTAAGGTGATATCTCATTGTGCTTTTGGTTTGCATTGACGTGATTATTAGTGGTGCTGAGCATCTTTAATATACTAGTTGTCCATCTGTATGCCTTCTTTGGAAAGATGCCCATACAGATCTTCTGACCATTAATTGGATTGTTTGGGGGTTTTGCTACTGAGTTGTATGAATTCCTTATATATTTTGTATATTAACTGCCTTATCAAATATGTGATTTACAAATATTTTCTATCATTCTGTAGGTTGCCTTTTGATTTTGTCGATGGTTTCCTTTGCTGTGTAGAAGCCTTTTAGCTTCTATAGTATAGTATAGTATAGTATAGTATAGTCCCATTTGTTTATTTTTGCTTTTGTTATCTTTGCTTTTGGTGTCAGATTCAAAACAACATTGTTAAAACTGAAGTCAAGGAACTTACTCCCTATGTTTTCTAGGAATTTTTCAGTTTCAGGTCTTAAATTTGAGTCTGCAA